CGAGAGCTGGCGCCTCACGCCCCAGTGCCACGAGATCATTGACCGCCTCTTTACCTCGTGCCACAGCACTATTGCAATGTTGACGGCGCTCGAGGCCGGTTTCGACAAGGAGGGCATCATCTGCTTCCCCATCTTCATGCTCTTCTCTTCCTTCACGGCCAGCGCGACCGTCGCCTATCTGTCTCTCAAGGGTCTCACCCCTCCCAACGCTGTTGAGACCGCCGGTCATATCGTGCGCGATGGCCTTCACTTCATGCAGGATGGGGTTGACACCTGGCCACTCATCAGCTCGTGGCTCCGTCATCTCGCTGTGATGCATAGAGTGCTGGGCAACGATGCTGGCGCTTCCAGCCCCAGCGTTGGAGGCACGTCTGTGCCTCCCACCACGGCGCCAGCTGACCAGGCGTCGGTTAAGGACGAGGCCGCCTCTAACCCCGACACCAACCCGGATGCCATGGACTACGACCAGGCTTCCAACGCCACCGCCCCTCAGGGTCCTGTCCACAACCATACGGCGTCTGTGAGCGAGAGCGGACGTGACAGTGAGCCGCCTGCCCCTCAGCCTCGCCGTCCCGGTGTCACCACTATCAACGGTGGCTCCGGCGGCGTCGGCACACCGGCCTCGACGAGCCCCCCCCCTCCGCCACAGGCCGAGGTCAAGCAGTCTACCGAAATGCTGCCTCAGCCCCCCATGGGCAATGGCGTTTCGTCATCCGAGCCGGCGGCTGCTGTGCCCCAGGACATGACGGCTAGCGAGTTATGCTCTGCGTTCGAGCGACAGCTGCTCGAGCTGGATGACCTTGCCGCGTTTATGGGTGGTGGCGTTTGACTCACCTCTTGATCGGCTTTTGATGATCAGAACATTTCATCCAACCAATGTTCGGACGTCCTGATTCATATCGGACCGGTATATTGTACAGTACGACTACCGAAAAAAAATACCCCGCGACTGAGTTTGCGATCATTTGATGTCATCCCGTGAGTGGAGGTCATTGTTGCTTTGTTTCATGGGGAGGAGTGTGGTGTCCTTGTGGTATACGCGGATCAGCGGGCATTGGACTGAAGGGGCTCTTCTCGTGGCTCCCTGCTGGGAGCGAGTGGCGTGTGCGCGTGTAGTGAGGGTTAATGAGTTTTATCATCAAGGCGTTGATGGCCCAGTCGATGAATGACTCTGGCCGGGCTCTATGGAGAAGTTGGCGGTTGCGTCTTGTTTTTTCCCTGTTTTTTTTATCCGTCCTTTTGTGATCAGGGCAACATCCAAGAACCCTGGAATTGCTTCCTTTGACACGATAATGCTGCATACAGTCATAGCAGCACCGGATGGCGTTGTGATGTGTTGCTTGATGAGTTTTAATCGAATACCCGTGGCAACACGACGCTTCATATCATTCACTTCGTGATTTTTCCTTTTTGACGGTGATGGCTAGTGTGCCCTTGAGCATCACATCTTATGCGACGAGGCATATCTTCTGTATCCTCGTCTCCATGTACCTTGACTTGTTGAGCCAACCAGTGCCCGCCCTTATGCATGAACGCCACGACCGGAATTCGGACTTAAGACAACTCCGCTCACGTGGCATCATGTATCCGTGCACACCGTCCAGCCATATAACAAGGGACGGTGTATGTCAGCAGTGGACGGACGGAGTTCGACCCCTATGCGCTAAGACCCGCCAGATCACCCGCACATATCCAAACCCGCCGGGTTTCGTTCGTCTCGTTCGTCTCGATCAACAACACTCTCCGTCGAGCACAGTTTCATTCTGCTGTTGCATCCAGAACTGACTAAGCGGCTTCGTAATCGATATTCGAAGCTCAGCGTGCTCAAGCGGTCGCACCCAGAAAGCCACGCGGCGATCCCGGACATCCCGCAAGAGTTAAGACAGTTTGCTGCGAACCAGGGGAGGGCCCTGAATCTATCTTTCGGCCCGCCTTCCTTCGAACAGGGTTGGCAAAGGGGACCGGCCCGTTGCTTGGCTTTTTCCCATTTCTTTGCTCGCTCCGAACTCCGGATGTCAACCGGAGTTGGAAGACACGACTCAGGCCCGGCCCCTTCAGTCGCCAGCGACAGCGGGGGCATCGCGGCGCCGTACGGGCGGGCATGTACCAACTGCTCCCGGGCCAAGTGCAAATGCATCCTCCGCCCCGTCGGCGGCCCCTGCGAGCGCTGCCACCGGCTCAGTAAGCTGTGCCAGCCAAGCAACCCCATCCGCAGGCGCTCCAGGAAGCCGCGGTCCAGCAGGACCGCGCAGCTGGAGGAGAAGCTCGACGGGCTCGTGACGATGCTGCGACAGTCGGGCCGACCAGACCTCTCCGTCGGACTCGGCCCCGGGCCTGTTACCGCCGCACCCACTGCCGCCATACCTCCGTCTGCGACCGCTGCCAGGACGGCGTCCTCCGAGCTGGGAGATGCGCGCAGTGGTTTGGGGTCGGTGGCCTCGGCGGACGATGCGCGTACGCGTCAGACCCCATTCCCGACACCGACGACGCAGACGGACAACAGCCCCGAGGGGACTGGCACCGGGTACGAGTACGGGGATGGAGACGACCTGCCTTCGCCGGCCGAGGCGGAGACAATGTTCGAGGGGTTCCGCGACCGGAACATGAAGGCCTTCCCCTTCATGTGCTTCGGGGAATCGACGACGCAGCGGGCGCTGCGGGCGGAGCGACCGTTCCTGTGGCTCTGCGTAATGACGGTAGCCTCCCGGGTGACGAGCCAGCAGTTGGCGCTGGGGCGGCGGGTGCGGCAGGTCGTGAGCCAGAAGGTGATTTTCGAGAACGAGAGGAGCATGGACTACCTCCTCGGGATCTTAGTCGTCTTGGGATGGTGAGTTTGTCGTGTTTTGTTTTGTGTTCTCCTCTTTCGTGTTATCCACCAATTTAGGGTTTCAATGTATGCTTACTCCGCGCTCAGGGCGAACCACCAGCTCGGGACCAAGCCTTTCAAGTGTATGTTCGGCCAGGTCGCTATCGGCCTCGTGTTCGACCTAGAACTGGCCCGCGACCCGTTGGAAGCCCTAAATCCCTTCATATGCTTCAAGGCCGCCCAGGAGAGGGCCGATAGGGACAAGACCTCGGTCGCCCAAACCTTCTTCATCAAGTCGCAGGCACCGCGTACAATGGAGCAGCGGAGAGCAGTTGTTGCCTGCTACTTGATCACGGCGTCGTAAGCACTCTTCTCTCCCCCCCCCCCTCAAATCACGAAAAACCATATGTTTTGCAGAACTCCACGACTAACCTTTTCTCGCAGCATCGCTGGTTTTCTGGGCAAAATGGTTCCCCTGTCCTGGACGCCGTACATGGACGAGTGCCTCGAGATGCTAAACGACAAGCCCGAGAGTCCCTTGGACAACAGCCTCGTCGCGCTAGTCAAGATGCAGCTACTCAAGGATGAATCCAGCAAGCTCTCGTCCCGGCTCGACAAGTCGTCGCGGGAGGGTGCTGATAGCTCGAAGCCGCCGCCGGCCATGTACATCAAGATGCTGCAGGGGCAGCTGCAGCGCATCATCCAGGACCTACCTGAAGACTTACGAAGCACGGGTTTGTCTCCCCCCCCCCCCCCCCTTCCCCCCGTCCCATCCAAACGAAGAGCTGCAAGACTAAAACCTCACCTCTTTGGGTATAGACGCCATCATCTCCCAGCTCCACTGCACGGAGCTCTCCATCCAGGAGGTCGCCCTCACTTCCCATACGGGTGCTTTGGTGCCTACACACCTCCCGGACGTCGCCCGCCTCGACATCCTGTACGCGTGCCTGCACGCCATCAAGGCCTGGTTTGACCACTTTTTCACGCTGCCCCCGACCTCATACTTCTACATGGGCTTCATCACTTTCGAGCAGCTGTCCCACTGCGTCGTCGCGCTCTACCGCATCTCGGTCCTCGACGATCCCGTCTGGGACCGCGCGAGCGTGCGGACGACGATCGACCTCATCGCGACGCTCGACGAGATCGGTAACCGCTTCTTGCTCGTTCGCGACGGCGCCGGGCTCCGCGACGACACGGGCGAGGGGACCACGTTCGACAGGGCCATCAAGACCATCCGGGGTCTCAAGAACACCTGGGAGGCGGCGTTGGCTCCCTTTGCCAAGACTGATCCCTTGACGGCGACGGCGACGGCGGGCGGGAATGTCGACGGCGGGCCGGGTGGGCTAGGAGCCGGGGGGATGACGGAGGCCGGGGTCGGAGAGGCGGATCTCGTGCAGTTCGGGTTCGATCTGATGGATAACCGGCTGTTTACCGACATCTTTATCCCGTTTGACTTTTGATTGTTGCCACCGTCTTTTCTCTTCTCCTTTTGTTTCTAGTAGAACGCGGGGTACACGGCATCAAAATGGCGCGTCATTGGGAATGCCAACCGTAGGGTTGGTTGGGAACCGGCGTTGAGACCACAGGGACGTGGGATGGAAGTCTCCTCTTTATTTATTTTCTTCTTTTGTTTTTATATTGAACCGTAAACGCTGCTCAGTAGCCTGCAGGGAAGTTCATTCGACGGCTGGCTAGTGTACATCAATACTACCTCCCTCCCTATTCTCGTTGCAATGGCCAATCTTTGCGGACAATGTGCCTGATGACTTCGAGACGTTGTGGTTGATGGTTATAGTTTCACATTCTCTCCGTCCTCCTCCCCTCACCCCCTTTTCCTTTGCCTCGATGTTCGTGCATGACGTTGGTTCTGCGTACGACTTTAAAGAAGAATCAGTATCTAGGCGGCTGTATCACAGTGCCAAGTGATGCCACGGTGAACCTGAGGTGATTCATCTCCTAATGTGAGCATTGATGTCCTCAGTCTATGTAACAGGCTGAATGCCTCCCATTGGTCTTCTTGGGCTGAGGCGACGATGAGTGAAACAGTAGGCCAGGACACTGGACTACCAGTTGCACCAATCATTACTTTTTTTGTTCAAGCCCCCTCCCCCTCTGGTAGCTTACCCCCTTCTGCCACCATCTTGTGCCTTTTCCAACGAATCCATCCCACCCCTCGTCCAATCAAACCGCTCGCTCAGAGCACCTTTTCGTTCGAGTTACTGGACTCGAGCTCGGTGATGGTGGTGGTGGTGGCGTGCCTCCGGCGCAGGTTGCCGGCCTCGTCGTGCTCCTCGTCCCACCGGGCGACCTCGGCCTTGGGAACCCTGACGAGGCGGTGCGTGTTGGCGCCCTTGGCGTCGACGTTTACAATCTCGGTGCGGATCTCGTAGCCCAGCCAGCGCGGGAGCACGTACATCCAGGCGATGTAGTAGAGGATGCAGAGCAGAATGCTATACAACGGGGAGAGGGGCGGCACGTTAGCATGTTTGTTTCGTGCCGTGCGGAAAAGGATGAGAGGGGTAAGACAAGAAGAAGAAGAAGAAGAAGAAAGGGGAAGAACTTACATTCCGATGCCGACGACGCAGTAGGTCGCGTACCAGAAGCTGACGTCGCCGGCGTACGGGCCGCCCTTGGGCGGCCACCATGGCATGGCGAGAATGAAGACCTGGACGGCGAGGAAGAAGACTACGACGACGTCCCAGGCGCGGAACTCGGAGCGGCCGATGCCAGATCGCTGGCGGCGGCGGCGCAGGATGAAGACGCCGAACGTCATGGCGAAGTTGAATATGGCGCTCGGGTAGCTGGCCAGGTCGACGACTGGTGGCGGCGTGTCAGTAGCCTGTGTCGGAACGCGTCATGGTAATAGGAGAACGGGAACGTACCGAAAGAGAAGGCGTCGCCGGCAGGCGGCGCGACGATCATGATGAAGGTCATGATCCACTTGAGCAAGTACGGACCCAGGGGGGTCCCGAAGGGCTTGGTCGATACCCAGAAGTTGGTGAACGGGAGCACACCTTGTCTGTGACGAGGGGGGACGCCAGGATTAGTGTTGAACATGGCAAGTCTTAAATCGGACGCCTGAAGAGGGGGGTAATAACATACCGGCCGATCTCGCGGATCATGCGGGACGACCCGATCAGCACGGCGAGAAGGTTGCCAAAGGCGCTCAGCAGGACGAGGAAGTTGAGGACGTTGGCGGCGGCGCGGCTGCTGCCAAAGAGCTTGGATAAGAAGACGGCGGCGGCGATCTCGCTGGCGCCCTTGAACTCGGCCTTGGGCACGGCGGCGAAGTAGGCGATGTTGCAGAGCATGTAGAGGACGGCGACGGTGAGGAGCGAGACGACGCCGTTCCGGCGAAGGGTCGGGATCGGGTTCCGGATCTCGTTGGTCATGTTGAAGGCGTTGTAATAGCCGGCGTAGGAGAAGACGATGCTGACGAGGGCGTTCGACAGGTCGTTGCCGTTGCTGGTCGTTGCCGTTGCTGGTCGTGCCGTCGAAGGCGTTGCGGAAGTTGGCCTGGGGGTCGGGGATGTGCTTGATGTTGCCGCCGAGGACGACGAAGCCTGCGATGCTGATGCTTCGGGGTTGTTAGACTTTTGGCCCAGTTGGAAGAACGGGGTGGAGGGGGAGAAAAGTGGTCGCGTTTTCGGGCCCAGCTTACAAGACTAGCGTGAGGATCTTCAGGGCGCCGATGAAGTTGACAAGCCAGAGGGAGTATCGGTTGTGTGCGATGACGCAGATGACGGCGAGCGTATACGCCGCGATGGCGACGCCGCGCATCTGCCACTCGGAGGGCGTAGTATCCGCCATCCTCCAGAGGTATCTGGACAGGACTGTCGAAGGTCAGCAAACGTGCTGCGGGGCGTTTTCTTCCTCTTCTTCTCAGCCTCGGAGGCGACCCACCGACGGCGTTGCTGCTGCTGAAAGACAGGATCACCGACTGGACGGCAAAGGCCACGGGGAAGAAGTGTTTCGGCCGGGGGTACGCCTGCTCCAGGAAGACGACCTCGGAGCCGCTTCGGTTGGGGAAGTAGCTGGCCAGCTCGAGGTAGACGCTGAAGCCGGCGGAAGCCATGAGGAATCCGATGACCCAGTACATCAGGGCCAAGCCGATGGAGCCGGTTCTGCTGAGGATGCTGGCGGCTGTGGCACTTCGTCAGAAATCACAGCCATCTAGAAAAGGGTACCCTGCCACCGCACTGCGGTATAACGTACGAGTAGAGAAAATACCGGTCCCGATCATCATGTTGACGTTCAGGAAGATGATGGCGATCCAGTTGACGTGGTAACCCAGCGGCGAGTCGGACTCAACAGGCGCGCCGACGGCCTCCTGGTAGGACGGCTTGGAGCCGTTGCCCCCCTTCACTCTAGTGTAGGCGAGGCCGCCGTCGTGGATGATGGAGGGCTCCGAGTCGCTGGCCTCGGTGTCGGCATGGACGGCGGAAGCGCCGCCGCTCGGGAAGAGCTTCGCAAAGAGCCCCATTGCTTGTTGATCACACACATGTGCCGACACACAAGAGTTGTTGACGGCCTGAGGAATTAGGAAGAGTCCCGGGGAGATGCAGGTTGAAAGCCTGTTTGTTCAGTAGAGCCGAATGGGTGGTGAATCACCGTATCAAGACATACGGGATTATACGACGGAGCTGATGTATATATACTTTCCACGAAAGACGAGTCTGCCAGCTGTCGTCACATTGTCGCGAGATCCCCGACTCATGGGTCCTGTTCGATACTATGGAGTAAAAGCACACAATCGACCTCGACTCCGGGGAGCGCGTTGGACCCCTCTCCTTATCTGCCACTTTGCAGATTCTCCACGGTGAGACGTTACACTCGACCTGGCGATGTCAGGGTATGGTTCACAACAAGGGACGGAAAGCAGGCGACTAGGTTCGTCGGACGAAATCCTAGGATCCAAGGGCGCCTATTGCGTGCTTCCTGAGCCCTAGAAGTTTTTCATTGCCAAGAACACACATTATCAGTCGGCGCACATCCCGCCAACAGTATCTCCCGCCGCGGCCACATAACCACTTGTGGCATATGTCGCCATCCACCCTCGGCCTTGCTCTATCGCAGCCTCCCAACACGCCCCAATCAGCAAGTGGGCACACCGCGCGAGGGTGGGTTCCCGAGCGCGGGTAGAAACACTAGTGGATGAGGGTTTCAACCACCGTCTACATAGCTCCAACGAAACAGGAAGCGGATGGGTACTGGAAACACGCCACGGTGGAAAAGCCGTCTTGCCTCTGCCTCTTGGCTCGATTATATCTGATCCATACATCATCTCGCATAATAAGGTGACACAGGCTATCCTGACAATAACCAGATGGTCCCAAGCATACGGGATGCTCTGAAGACATTTGACACCTGCGGCAGGGTAGTCATATGGGAGGGTCTTGATGTAGGTGAGTTCATCAGATGAGAGCGAGGACTACGGTTTTGTAGGCATATGCCGTCAGTGTCGCGGACGTAAAGGTTTGAAGCCCTCAACGCACCGGATCCTTGGACCGATGAGGATGGGATGCCTCGACTTGGGATAGTGGGATAGAAACAGTGTGACTGATAACTCATGTTCACTCGGGAAACACAATCCGAGAATGAGCGGCCAAGGGTCCCAATCAGGGCACATCACTTACTGCATGGAAGCCTTGGCTTAGCCGTTCATCTCCACCTTGTAGTTATCCAGGCCTCGGCCAGTCCTCCATATGAGCCCATGTGCTCATCCCAAGAAAACTCATATCACCCCAAGATGCGGGTTGAGGACTCGCAAGGATGTTTGGCCGCGCGCGCGGCAGATGTTAATGAAAACGTCCATGCCATGCGCCGGTGGCTGCGAGACGCGGAACTGCTGTCGACAACGAACGTCAAAATGCCGCCACTTGCCGGAGCACAAGTCTTTTTGCATATCGATCTCTCCTAGCGCAAACGACCTTTCTGAAACGGTCAAGACAGAAAGCGAAATCTCGCTTGGCTCGGCATCTTTTGGATTTATGTCGACATCGGAACGCTGCATAACGCAATCCGACGGCTGAGGCAGTGCATTGACCACTCGAGATCATGTCTGCCACACCAGAACTATTATTGCAACCCTGCTTTCGTTCCCTCAAGGGTAACGTTGAGTTTTAAATCTACTAGAAATCATACAAGCATAGGTGATAAGGAAAAGAGCTTGCCAGCCATACTTATATGCGTTGATGTGCGCTGACCCAGACGTCTCTGAAGGAACCTCGATCCATCATTGACATCGACACCGGGAGCTCACTGCTGTGGGGACGACGAGGGTCGCGGAAGACTTCCTGGTGGGAGGTGAACCTTGACTCCAGGAGAGAGTAGGATTGTATTTTGTAAGAGGAGTCTCTAGAGGACCTCCGCTGTTAACAAATTTGGTTTCGATCTTGACTGCACTCAACCACACGCCAGCTTAACAAGTTGACTAGAGCTTCTACACACGGACTCTACGGAGTAATACGTAAGAATTCTAGTAAACGGCTTTCACTGCAACAGATGTTTGACTATTGCCGGCCTGAGACGGATCACCCCGGTAGTCCCCGGCCGAGCAGAATCGAGCCAAACTAAGAGTTGCAAGTCTCGAATTCTTCGTTCTTTTTCTTTTTGTAAATTCGAAACATTGTTTTGCAGCGCGTTATAAAGCGCAGTCACATATCCTACACGATCCTTGCGTCTCTTGAACCGGCGCGGGAAGCGTGCGATGTGGCCTTCTGCGCCTACTTGTCTTTAGGCCTGCCGCCATTCACGTACTTCCAGAGGCGGCTGATCTGGTAAACCTGCAGCTCTACAGAGTAACCGTTCACCTCGTTGTGATGGGCAACACCATCAACTCCGTTTGTGATCTTCCGCTGCTCGTCGATTTTCCAGGGGTCGTTACGAACGTTCGTCGGCGACGCCATAAAGGTGCCCGGAACAGGAGAGCCATCCCCGTTGGTCTGGACTCTGCTGAGGCTGTCATCTAGCGGGAACATGTTGTCGAGGTAGTGCTGGTTGAACTGGTGACCCGAGCCGTTGCGCTCAATCAGCACGCCCTCAAAGGCATTCCACTCCGAGTCCAGCTTGTTGGCCTGCTTGGACGCGGTCCAGAATGTCGCTTTGATGATTTGCACCTTTCTGGAGATGAGGGAGGAAATCTCGCCGAGACGGAGGAAGCGGCCATCCTTTCTCGCCGTCTGCTTCTTAAAGTGAAGAACGCCCCATCGGGAGACGAAATCCATCGAGTTGGCGTAGTGCTCGATGTGGCGTATGGCGCGGTCCTTGACTCTAGGAACGGTATGCTCCTTCTTGACGCGGGGGTTGTTGAAGTGGTTTGCGGCGTTGCCGAATGTGTAGATCTCCAGCTTCTGCAGAACCTCGCGCGTGTGCTGGTTGATGAGCCAGTCGAGGATGATGCTGCCCTCGAGGCCGCCCTGCGAGTGAAGAATGAGGATGACCTTTTTCTTGTCCGAGAGGAGCGCGTCAGAGATGTGAGAGAAGCAGATTCTAGTGTCCGCGGTGCCGAAGTACATGCAGCGCTCCAGAAGGCATTGGATGATGTCGAAGATTATTCCCGCACTAAGTGTAGTGTCAGTATAGGTCAGAATGTATATTCTCAAGCGGTTCCTATTCACTCACGTCCTGTTGTGCACGCCTTTGACTTCGCGGTGGAAAGTCAATGAAATGCGGTCAATATTGCTCTGCAGCCAATTCTTGCTGTTGAATGATTAGCTCCACTTGCGAGGAAGACTGTAATGCGATAGAGAGCCTACCCAACCGCAACTCCGTTCAAGAAGATCCATTCTTCATCCGCGTGCTCCTCCCTCCATCGCGCGGTGTCAGGAAACTCCTTCGACCAGATGAATCCCTCTGGCATCCAGCCATTGAGCGCGAAGCACGCGATGTAGTTGGTGGTGACGAAAAGACCAACCCAAGCAACGAAGAGGTTGAAAGAGAAAAAGGTCAGGAAGGGGAGCGACAGGAGGAAGGCCGATTGGGCGGCCATGAGGATTATATGGAAAGTAATGTCGCAGAAGTTGTTCCAGGACGGGTAGAGCTCGTCCATCGGACCGGAGTGGAAGTAGGTCTGGGCCCATGCTTGGAACTGGCGATAGAACTGGCTGACGAGGAAACGAGGCTGCTCCACGAACCTGTTGTCGACTCCAAGACGAAAAGACCGCGCTGGGGGCTGCGCCCAGAGGGGGAAGACAATGCAGGGGAGGTAAATGATATTCCGAAGAAACAGCTTCGTGTCACTCCAAAGCAAACTCCATGGCGGGCCGGTGTAGAAGTATGCTGGCCTGAGAGAGGGGTCTTCGGACCTTCGCGAGACTCCGAGTCCCTTGCTGCCGTCTTTGCTGTAGGTGCTGATTTGAAGGTCCGAACTGGGCTGGACCACAATCTTCTTATCGGTCACATCCTTTGGGAGGGAATATGTAACATTGACTGCCTCCATGTTTGCGAGTGTAAATTATTTTGACTGACGAGGATACTGAGGCAGATTGCAAGTGAAATGATACGGGGATGCAATCAAATAAATACTGACGGTTTTACATATCTCCCTCTCAGCTGAGGAGGACTGGAGTGAGTTTGGTGCGCGGTTCTGTTCTCCTTTGCTGTGCTGCTATCTTGTGGTGGTTTCCCTTAACATGCCGGTGTGACGCGTGCCATTGAACAATGTTGACAAGACCTTGCTGTTTCAAGATCACATGCCCGGTACTTCTGCTTCTCAGTTCACATGTCGAACTGCCTCTCTGGCGTGATAGTTCGAGGCATAAAAACGCCCACCATAAGCAGAAACAGCCGACTTCTGTATGGTGGCGCTTAGACGAGTGTTTTCGACCACATCTAGTTGGCGTCCAACATGGACCTCGACGCCGATGCGGTCCTCGAGAGGGGTGACGGGTTTGCAAACATGTAACATTATCAACGGCTTGGACAACACATCGACTCGGCACTGGAATTTGCATGCCTCGTCCTCCCCATCATGCCTCCCTGCAAGACATCAACGAATCTAACATCAATCAGGTGGTTGCTAGTCAGATTATCGTGCGCCCCGTGTCTTGGAGTCTTGAAGCATTCTGCGAGCTTGCCGCGCATGGCACATACGTGCGTTCTAAGGTGGGCTATTACCCCAATACCCCTTTCCGTCTGGTTGCGGCCCGCTAGTCTTCCCGCTTTCAGCTAGTCACATTCCCGCCTAGAAAGTGCAAACACGATGGCGCCAAAGAACCAATCGGTCGAGTTTCCTGGGCACAGAGTGTGGGATTGAGAGTTCGCCCGCGTGTCAGTAGCTTCACGTTGAGCATGTTCAGCCAGCAGCTTGTAAGACTTCTGTCTCGTCGAGGAACCGATAACAGCCGTCAGCCTTCAGTAGTGTATGTTCGTTAGAGCGAAGCGGTAGTTCCATGACCTAAACCTTTTTCGGGGTTCGATCGTCCGCGTTATTCCTGTTCAAGCGGCGCCTCCGTTGTGGAGATTGCCGTTCATGAGACGGCA